TCTTCTATTATAAATACGATTATAAGTTTTATATATAAATATATGTAAATAAAATATATAATCGTTATTGTTTTCACTTCTATTTTTTTATAAAATAAGTGTGTCAAGCAAGCACACAGTTAAATAACTGATGTAAAAAAAAGGGGAACCGACTTTGCCGCCTTTGTTATTAGACCCCTATATAATGTCCTCGCGACCGATTTTTGTCACGGTGGCCTGCCCCAACGGAGACTAGCTATCGGTGCAGGACAGGGTGATAGTGCGCAAGTGTATGCGCAAGCACAGGTGTTCTCTGTGAGGTGGCACTCTCTGTTCCCTAAATCTCATAATCCAATGGAACGGAAAACCAATACGAACGGAGAGAGATCAGGTGAAGTACCAACGGTTTTTCTTGCTTTCTGAGGCACGGGGGTGAGATACCGCCAACTTCCTGACTTCGGGCAGCTATTGAGAATTTCTTGACGGTAAACTCAATATTTGGTTTTTTGGCTCGACCCACGATTCGAACCCAGGACCTCATGATCAGCAGTTGCACTACTACAACCACTAGACCAACAAGGCATATTATGTTGCCTACATAGTACATCTACATTAATCCCCAACTAAGAATTAAAATACAGTTGCGTTTTCATCTCTTAGATATAAGATGAAATTCCTCGTTACCAAATGGTGTACGCCGTATTGTTTAACCCTTACCATACGAGACACGTTTATTCTGTAATTTTCCGCTAGTATCCTATGAGAACATGGTTCTAACCCGGTCGAGTCACCTCATTCGTGATGAAGCCATAATATATTTGCTGCATTGCTCTTCTACCACACATAAATAAGTACCTATGCTTTAATCTAATATCCAAAAAATAGTGTTTGTTTTTTCGTTATTTATGCGCTGTCTACCGTTCATCAGACTGCGGTAAAACGTTGTCAACTTATTGCTTGCACTTACTTGAAGGTTATAGGCAGAGTACAATCAAGAGCTCTCTTACATTTCGGCGTTACGCAAATTTAGGTATTTTACGGTCCGAGCGGGCGATGACCTACGCGAGTGATATTTTATTTCATATTAGAGATATGAAGTGGTACTGTCAGTATAGCAACTAAACGATCTTGATATTCCAGTATACAAGTTTTCTTAGGATGGAGTTCAGTGGATAGAAAGTTTTTTTGGTGTGGCATTTTTATGATATCTAATTAATTTATTATAATCTATTTGATATAGTTTTCATTATTTATGAACCTAAGTGTTGAAATAAGTACACATAAATATTTAAATTGTTTCACAGTAATCGATTATTAACCGATGTTCGTTAGTAATTAACGATTCTATCTATTAACGGTAGCATAGTGGTATAAATAAATAAATAGTACGATTGCAACCTATTTTAATAAATAAAATAACCAACTTTAACTAATATATTTGAATTGGTACTTACAGTCAATTATCATATTTTTTATTTGACCGAGCTTGTCTCGAGTTAATAATTTTAGGCAGTATTCAAAATCCAAAATTTGTCGTCTTTGTAGATTTTTACTACTTTTACTGCATAATCTGGGCCAGTCCGTATGGCAAGCATGCAGACATTTTTATTCTCTATTATTTTTTCTCCAGAGATAGGATATTTCTTTTTTTACGTTAGGTGACACATTCATCATCACCATTACAGCCCTTCACAAGTCCACTGCTGAACATAGGCCTCCCCCAAGTAATGCCACAAAGCACGGTCCTGAGCCATCTGCATCCATCGACTTCCTGCATATCTTACCAGGTCGTCACTCCATCTAGTAGGGGGTCGCCCTACACTACGCCTACCGGTACGAGACTGCCACTCGAGAACCTTTCTTCCCATCGGTTATCGGTTCTTCGAGCTATATGGCCAGCCCATTGCCACTTCAGCTTACTAATCCGTTGGGCTATGTCGGTCACTCTGGTTTTACTGCGGATTTCCTCATTTCTGAGTCTATCACGCAGAGAAACTCCAAGTATAGCCCTCTCCATAGCTCGCTGAGTGATCTTGAGCGTCCTGATACGCCCAGCAGTGAAAGACCATATCTCAGATCCGTAAGTCATCACTGGCAATACGCACTAGTTGTACAATCTAGTTTTTAAAGATTGAGGTATACCTGACGAGAAGATATGTCGTAATTTCCCGAAAGCTGCCCAGCCGAGTTGAATTCGTCGATTTACCTCTCGGTCGAAGTTGGACTTACCTAGTCGGACTATTTGTCCCAGGTAAACGTACTCGTCAACAACTTCGAGCATAGTGCTCCCAACAACTACCGGCATAGGTGTGACATGGACATTAAACATAATCTTTGTTTTGTCCATGTTCATCTTAAGACCTATCCGTTGGGAGGCACTATTGAGGTCATTGAGCATAGTGCTTAAGTCCTCCAGCGATTCTGCCATAAGGACTATATCGTCGGCAAATCGAAGGTGAGTGATGTACTCGCTATTGATGTTAATATCGTATCCTTTCCAGTCCAGTAGCTTGAAAACGTCTTGCAATGCAGCGGTGAAGTATTTCGGGGATATAACGTCACCCTGTCTTACACCTCTCTGCAGTTGGATAGGTTTCGAGCTCTGGTTCTGTACTCGGATAGCCATCGTAGCCCTACTGTACAAACACTTCAGCACTTCGATATACCGACAGTCAACTTGGACCGCTGAAGGGACTGTAGCACCGCCCAAATTTCGACGGTATCAAAAGCTTTCTCATAGTCCACAAATGCCAGGCAAAGTAGCAGATTTTAAGAAGTAAGACTCTTCGGTCTTCTGTACAATCCGCCGCAGGGTATGTATGTGGTCTATTGTACTGAAGCCTTTTCGGAAACCGGCTTGTTCGGGAGGCTGGAAGTCGTCGAGTCTGCGTGCGAGACGATTCGTAATGACTCTCGAAAACAGCACTTAGACGCGGCTCAGAAGGGAAATCGGTCTGTAGTTCTTCAAGAGAGCGTTGTCGCCTTTCTTAAAGAACAAGACCACCACACTTTTGCTTCACGCTTTTGGAGTAGTGCCACTATTTTTTTTTAACATGGGGAAATGCCTACGCATACCCGCCTCGCAGGGGCAAGGACGGGTTATGTCGGACTCGTACCGACTAAAACCTCATGGTGTTCCACCTTCGTCGCATATTGGCAGGGCTACGAGAACGCTTTCGCACACTTCCGCGGCCCTACCAGTGACTGCCGCCCCATGGCAGCACCTCCTCGGGAGAGGAATATTCCTCCCCGTTCTCCTTCCCAAGTAAGGCGCACCAGAACACATGGCACGCCTTCCTCCACCCTCCAATTACATCTGCGCAACAGACGCCCCCGCGTCCGATGCGCGAAGGCCATGGGGCCAGGAAAAACGAGCACTTAGAAGTACTAGCCTTCCCGACCCCAGCGGCGGATCTGGTCTATGGCTCCGCCGCCAACCAAGATTCGGCTGCGGAGGATAGGGAGAGCGGCGCCTCGCAATACCAACAATCCTCTCCCCCCGCAGCCCCATCACCACCGCATCAACGGTGCGGCCCCGTTTGAGTCGCGGAGGATAGGGCGAGTGGCGCATCGCCATACCAACACTCCTCTTCCTCCGCGACTCCACCTCGGCTGCAGAGGTAGAGGGTGCGGAGTCCCCACTCGCTACAGTCCACCAGCACACATCCGAAGTGGGCTCCCCAAGCCCACTCGGAGTGGCCCACCTCAGGCCGGCCCTTCACCTCGGGCCAGCCACGTGGGTTCCTCTTTGTTCACCGTGGGAGACCAAGCCACGGCTACTAAGCCCCCCGCCACGACAAGGCGGGAACCGTACCATGGAGGACGGAATTGAAGAGCTTCTGAAGGACTTTAAGTACCGGTGTTCCACCCGCTTTCAGAAGCTCCGCTGTAATTCCATCCTCGCCTGGGGCCCTGCCGTTTTTAAGGTGCTGGAGATCCATTCTAATCTCGCTTAGACTGACGTCCGGGATATCATCGAAATAGTTTCGGATAAGACTTGCTCTTGGATCGTTACTCACACTTGCGTGTGGCTCCAACGATGATGTGTACAACGATGAGGTGACACATTGATACTTGTATTTATTTTTCCCCATTCATACTGGTAAGAAAGCTCAGTTACAATCAAAATAACTATAATGAGTTAACTATCTTGTAAAATAATATTGTGCAAACTTTGTATTAAAATGGTCCGCGCCATCCGCCGCCCCGAACTTCACGAAATCGCGACGCTCCGCAAGCAAAAATCGGCCATAATGGTAAAAAGTTCTCGGATCATAATAAATTATATCTTAAAAGTTGCATATTTACGAGTGCTATTCGGTGGTATATTTTAAATTGGCCGAAAGACAAAAAAATAACTTTTCCTGCGAAATACCGAAATTTCCATAGTGACTTAACCCAAAAAAGAGTTTATTGCGTGCGGCGTGCGATTAGTCGCTGCAACATATAATTTTAATAAAGTCATTTTTTGTGTTTAGTAGTCGTCCAACTTCCCACCAAAAAATTGGATTTTCCAGCGACGCGTCTTCAAAATATAGGGGTCATCTCCGGAACCAAGTGTCCCTGGATAATTTCGAAAACGCCGCTCCAATGGAGCTGGCCTGCGCTACAAAACTACATATCCGGTTTTAGCCTGAAACCATATTCCAGTAGTTGATACGCAATTTGCGGTTCTTTTTTCATAGCCCCTAAGTTCAAGCAACTATTACAAAATTTTTTAATGACAACCCCCCAATTTTATATACTGTATTTTCCTGCAACTAGGTCTGTATCATAGTGCCAAATTTTAAAATTTTCGGACATATAATTTCTATGTGAAATTGTTTGTGTAAAGTGCATCGCACCGTTCATCCATTCCGTGATAAGTTTGCAGTGCTAATAACTCATAAACCGTTAGCAATATCGAAATTTTGACGAAATATTAAATCACTTAAGTAATGCTTTCTTAAGGACAAAAATAGAGATTAATATAATATAATACGTTATATTTAAGTTTAATACTGTTAAATGTGTTTTCGAATATGGCACCGTCGAAGGCCGTACCCCGCGCCCTCCCGGCTTTGGCCGCGGGGATCGAGAACTTGGACACTTACATGACAGTGGTGCAAAAACTCACCGGCTGCATTATCACAGCGATCAATGTTGATAAAAGCGTAACCGTGACTAACAAAAAACTCATTAATCTGGCAGCAGAAGAGATCCAGATGGCCACAGACGCTCTCACTCTTTTTATGCTAATGGGCACCACTGACACATGCAAATCTAACAGCGAATTAAAAAATTTCATCCTAGCATCTATGAAGGAAGAGATAGCGGATATCAAAAAATTGATTGCAACCAATAAACCCACTTATGCGGAAACAGCTGCAGTGGCTCGCGGGACCTCGGCACCCACTGGGCTAACCGCCTCCCAAAGCTCCCCCACAGCGTCAAAACCAGCGATGATTGTCAGCCCGATGGTCGAGGTCAAATTTCGACAAGAAGCCGTCAAACTGTTCAAGAAAAATATAAACCATCGAACATCCAAATATGCTCTAGCCAGAATCCAACCCGTTTCAAATCACAAGTACCGTGTTGAATTTGACTCGAAGACCCAATGAAAAGACACCCTTAACCGGCTCCAAGGCTAAAGCCACATAAAATTCGAACCTATAAAGAAAGGAAATACCCATGCTAATCCTAAAAATCATATCGAAAGATGTCCCTACCGAAGAACTAGTTCAGACTATTCGCTGTCATAACGAGGAAATTAACCGCGCTAATTAATGGAGGTGACGGCGAAAATATTAAAATAAGATTTTAACGCGAAAACCGAAATACCAACCTATACAATGCGGTCTTTTCAATCGAACCCAAGCTTTATCACCAAATGATAAATATGGGTCGCATCAGCGTAGAATATCAACGGGTCAACGTGTCTAATTTTTCACCATTTCTACAGTGCCACAAACGTTTACAATTTGGACACATGAAGAATGGATGTACTGCACCAGAAAGTGTATGTTCCCATTGCGCCAGTGATAATCAAATAAGCGACTGCCCGGTTAAGGATAACTCAAAATCAGCAAAGTGTAATAATTGCCATTTAAATAACATTAAATTCAGTGCTAATTCAGACACTGAACATACTGCTAACTATAACCCTATACTTCGAGCTATGAAACTACGTATTGCCAATAGAATAGTGTATAATAATGTAATAAAAGTGTGTGATAACAAATACCTTAGTATAAAATTGTACCACATAAGATTGTTACTAAAATTTTGATATAATTTAATTAAATTTTATTTTATCGTCCCAACAAATTAGTACACTAATAAAATAAGTTTGCAAGAAAACCCCATTTAACATTTTTGTTTATGTCTTTAAAGTAAGATTATTAATAATTTTTGTGATCATTGTCTTTATTTTTTTTAATGTTATGTTATTTTTCACACAAGTGTAATCATACCATTCTATTGTTTAAAATTAAGATAACCTTTGTTTTTATTTACTTATGTTCATTGCGTCATTAGATTGTATTCCGAAGTTAGGATTAAGATAAAAAATTTCTTTTCAACTTTATCATATATTATTATTCTCTTTGTCACTACATCACCTTTTCCTTTTATTCTTTTATGTGTGATTTTTATTATAAATTAGAATTATTAACACCAATTTGTATGTTCTTTCCTCATGTTATCATACTATTGTAATTACACCATGAGTCTGTTTAGAATTGGGATAAACTTTTGTATGTCATTATCTTACTGCTCACGGTGTCATTTTATTATCTTGTATATATGAGAATTTGGATTATGTTTAGTTTTCATTTTGTTTATTTTGCTCTTGTTATCTCCTTTTTCATTTATATAATTAAAATACTTGCACTCTATTTTGAAGAGTCAAAATGTGTCGAAAAAGGCACGTATGGCAATTTACAATGCTGTGTTGGTCCCTACTTTAACGTATGGTAGTGAAAGTTGAGTGTGACAGAAGAAGCACGAGAGTAGAATAAACGCAGTAGAAATGCGGTCGTTAAGGAGTATGTTATGGCTGAATCTGAATGACAGGGTAAGGAATTGTGTAATAAGAGAAGAGTGTGGTTTGCAAGATGATGTGGTGACCAGGATTAAGAAAGGAATGCTTCGGTGGTTTGGTCATATGGAAAGAATGAATGAGGAAAGAGTGACAAAGAAAATTTATGGTGCAGAAGTGAATGGTAGAATCGGAAAGGGACGTCCTAGGCGAAAATTTATCGACCAAATAGGCGATTTATTGAAAACGGGCCAAATTAGGAAGTACCCTTAACCGACGAGCATGTATGCGTAGGTGTATGGATGTGAAGGAGGCAAGAGAGGTGTGTCAGGATCGTGCCAAATGGAAGTTTGTAGTCTCTGCTTACCCCTCTGGGTGACAGGCGTGAGTGTTTATATATATATATATTAAATATAAATATATAATAATATAATATATATATACAATTAAAATAGGCCAAGCGGCGTACGCAGGATTAGGAATCACTTGTAATATTTTGTAATCAGAGTATTATCTCATTAGGAATAAAAATTGTAAATAGTGTAACATTACAAACAAATTACTTTAATACCAGGGTAGAGGACACAAGCCATGTATCGAATCGCAGGCAAGTGTGTAACCTGTTCCTATGTTTTAGAGTATAAGACCAAATTGTTTAACAAAAGTGCAAAATTCTATGGAAACTGATAATATACTTCCGCTGGTGGGGGTGTATCCTACAGCGGAAAACAAAAAAAAAACTAATTTAAATAAACTGTACGAAAGTAAATATTTACAACGATTAAAAATTTCGGGCTTAGTTGACGATGCTCTATCACAAAATAGCAGCGCCACCGCTATCGACGCACACTACGATAATATCGAAAAGAGACGGAGTGCGCGAAATAAATTGACACAGGTCGACCACGAGAGCCGCTGGCGCGCTAGTGAATTCAGATGGCCGACACAGTGAAATATATGGTACTATTATATTAATTGATTGTAAAATAATAGTAACGATTTAAGAAGTAAAAATCATAGTTTATTTTAAGCAAATGTTGATAATTATTTTGGTACTAATTTTGCGTCATATATAATGAAAAATACATCATGTACAACTTCGAAAATATTAGAGCTTGTATCGGAGTTTTTTCGGTAATTAATTAAATTATGTTTTTTTTTTCCTTAATTGAAAGGCATATAACGAAAACATATTTTATCATTATTAAAGTATATAATATTTCTGAGATAACAATATTTTTTGATATTCGATATTCAATGGATCTACAAATTAGAACTCCCAAATCATATCTCTCATAGTTTTGGCCTAAACATGCATCGGGAGAATGATTATTACTAAATAAATAAAATAATTATCTAAAATTTGTCTAGAGTTTATTGAAGTAAAGAAAACGATATATTTTTCCCAACTAGTTGTTATTTAAACCAACGAACGGAAATCGTATAATTTTAACTAGGAAATCTTGTAATTTCACGTTTTTTTGTAATAATCCTCGTAACTTACAGAAGGTGACGCGCATACTCTACCGACAAATTTATTTGAAATTAATATATTATCATGATCATTCCTTATCAAGCATTATAATTCTTTTAAATTTAAAATGATATTTCCACAATTATTTCTTCTGCGGCATTTCGTGTGGGGACCAGCTATTTTATAAAAACTAGTTGTTACGGATTTAAATTTCGAGCACCAATGTTTCACAAATAACACAGCCCTGAGTTATTTACAACAGGACCTTCAAATTTTAATTCTTAGCTTTTGCTCTGCCTTTCGGTTAAATAGTAGATGTGCAAAATTAATTAATCCTCAGAATCTAGAATCTGTCACTTTATTTTTATTTTCATAAGCGGCAAATTTATTGTGAAATACTTTCATATATGTACATTCAATTTATTAGTAATTTATCAAGCTAGGAGTAAAATCGCGAACATATTTTGAGAATTTCCAAGGAAAACTTATTTAGTCAAGACTTGAAAACACCCGTATTGTAATTTGATAGGAAGACACTTTGTTTTTTATAAACCTGGCGAAGAATACGGCTTACATGATGTTAAGTGATTACTGTTGCCCATGGACAACTCAGCAACTCAAAAATCAGCAGAAAGCAGATGTGTTTTACCGGCTTTTAAAAAGAAGTAATAGGCCGTTTCCTTTATGCTCCCTAAATCGTATCGGTTTGGAACAATCAATGGTCGGCTACCTGATTCCACAAAGACGATGTGCGAGGAAACTGGGGAAAATCTCAAAATGAAGATATGGAAATGATTCCACTGATTGATTAAAACTACTTTAACGGACTTTACCGTAACCATGGGGGCTGGAAAGCACCCGAAACGTAGGGTATTTACAAATAAAATAAATTAAACGCAATAAAATCCGTAAAATTAGTTTTAATTAATGTGTAGTGTTTACGTAAATACAAGAAACCATTATTCCACTCATGTACTGCATATACTATGAACTACGAAGCAAATCATTAAGTCGCAACGCGTGATGTGTCGGCACTGCAAGTATGGAGATTCGCCAAGCGTATGGTTTTTCCATGCTAGAAAGATGAAGAAACAAAGAAGGCAATAAATTCTTGCAGTCTTGCAGAATTCCGAATTCTTGCATACTCTGTCAGTGCTTGGTCAACAATAAGTCTTTTACCTCTCCACTGAGTTCAAAGGTGCTAGGTCGTATTTTGCTACAACAGTCCAGAAGTCGCATGTTAGATACTGCGTCGGCGTGGTATGTGGCAGTAAACCCTTACCTTCGGTTGCTCTAGTCTTGAAATCAAATCATCCTCATCATTGAGTCCACTGTTGAACCTAGGCATCCCCAAAGATTGCCTCAAAAGGGGGATACTTACCATAATTGTTACGCTTAACAGGTGGATTTTCAACCACTGGTTTTTTACTTCTAGTCGTTATTAGGTGGACGGTGCTACACATCTTCCGGTTTGTTCCCCCTTATAGGCCTCTTACGACACCTATGGGACGATATGGGGTCGTGGATATTCCTACGCCGCCGCTACACAGTATTTGTATTGAATACTCAATTTACCAAATTGCAATTTCTATTCAATTAATATCCCTAATACAGTAGCACCTAGTTAGTAGAAAAGTCTAGTCTAGTGTTCGTTGTCTTGCCTAACCCTCAGCGTGACAGTAGTTATTTTCTATATTTCAATTCATCCCGTTTTGAATTTTAACTGCTATATCGTTACAGGTGATTAAGTTCTCAGTATAACATCGGTGAAAGCAATCTACCGATTAATTAATTAACTGCCGAGTGGTCGCGCAATTTTCGTATTCCTCGCTTTTTTGCGTCCGGGTTCACCGAATGTCCTCATTAATTTAATGTCACTCTTTTGCTGTCTGTTAATTAATTTTAATACACGTGCTTTGTTAAAAACGAAAAAAATTACGTATAAAAAGTTATATCTTTAATATTTTATTGCATGTATGAAACTCATATATCTCAGTTACTTAACATTTTTTTTAAGAATATGATTGACCGAAAAGAGGTCACCTGCCTATACACACGCCTGTATACAATTAAATTTATCGGCGATTTAGAATCACTATATTGATACG